CAACTTGTAAGCTTTTTCTTCATTCTGCATCTGCTGCATCATATGCCAGCAATCAGGCGCCATCTCGTCCTCCAGTCGCCGCCACAGCTCTCCACGCACTGATTCGTACTTGGGGCAGTCCAATAGAAAATGAGACACAGTCACAGGGCAGCAAGCATATACACAGCAGCGCAAGCAAAAGTGAGCCCCACGGGTGCACAAACAACAAGTGCAGGCTCACTGCATTGTTTGGCAACGTCCTGGAGCATCGCCATGCCAGATTCTATTGCTGTTGCGTGCATATGTATGGGGGGTTGTTACCGGTACGCGCGTACTGCACACCGGGTTTAGTGGCCCTTGCTTGCAGGAAAAATCCAGCCTTAAACTGGCAAATCATGCAACTTTTGGCTAAATCACAATCATGGTGTGGCTGCTCAGCCCATGTGTCTCGTGCACGCGGCAGGTTTTGCGTGCACCGGGTTCGCCCAGCGCAGCAGCAAGCGGCATGGCAGGCTCTGCACGCGGCGTACGAGATCGCAAGTGTGAGGCAGGCACATATCCCTCCAAAGGGCAGGGGCAGGGTCGGGGTCCACCACTGGGTGGGAATCCCAATGTCGGCAGCCTGTCTAGGGCACACACTCGGGGGTCCAGTGATCGATGTAAACAGAGGAACCGTTAGGGGCACGGCATACACAGGGACGTTCCACGACAGGCTCAAAAAATTTGCAGGTGGGTTCGAAGGTGGGTGTGAATCAGGTGTTGGGCCTTGACGCGAGGCAGGTATGCCTGCATGAGGCGCCGATGGTCAACCGGCCCTCAAGCTCGCGTGGCGCTTGCCATTTTTTGATGCTGGCTGCTTGTTTGGCGGGGCATCACAATGTCACAATCAAGCAGGTGGCAAACAGGCAGAAGTGTCCGTTGCAGCGTGCCGGGGCGCGCCCACAAGTGACATACGTGGCACATTTGCGTTTCTTGGTGATCAACGCGAGAAAGCAACATTGTTTAAAATTGCATCAAGTTTGTGAAAGGAACGTCTCCTGGTTGTTGGATTAAACTCGTTGGGGGCCCGGAGGTGGTTGGCGGACATGCACCATCCCCCGCACATCAAGATCGCAACAGCCACGGGCTCCGACGCCAACGGTGCATGCTGGCCGTTGCACCCGCCCAGGGTGTGCTCCTCCCGTGCCGCCGCACGCGGCGCACGTAACGCAGCCCGCCGCGCAGGGGCTCACTGCAGCAGCGCCGCTTCGCCGGCCGTCGCGCGCGCGTTGACGCGCGGCACCACCCTCACGAGCAGCACCGACGCCACCCAGCTCACGCCCGTGAATATCAGCAGGATCACGCCCGCCGCCAGCGCGGCCGGCCTGACGCTCTCGCCCAGCGCCGTCACCAGCAGCGGCGACACGCCCCCGAAGAGCGTCATCGCCAGGTTGTGTCCGAGGTTGTAGCCCGACGCGCGCACGGCCGAGGGGTAGATCTGGGGGCCGATGCTGGTGAACAGGCCGCCCAGCAGGCCTGCGAGGCCGAGCATCCCGGGTACCGCGATGAACAGGGCCGCCAGGGTGCCCGTATCGAGCCACAGCAGCGCGGGCACCACCAGGGCGCCCATGATGGTGGAGATGCCCATGAAGAGCCAGACCTTGCGGAAGGCGCGGTCGCAGATGAAGTGGCCGGTGGCGAGCACGCAGGCGGCGAAGGTGAACATCGCGAGGAGCAGCGCCCACAGGGTGGTCTGCATGGGGATACCATCAATATTCTGGAGGTACGGCGGGATCCCTGCAATTTTCAGGCGGGAAATTGGGGTCAGAGTGGGGCAAGACGCAGATGCGCAACTTTGGGTGGTGACGGAGTGGTGCAATCGGCGAGCCGCCGTCACCCACCCCCCAAAACCAGCAAATGATCCCATCCTCAGGGCAGCTGAACGGTAGCTAAACAAATGAGTGTCCGACCCTAGTTGACGCAGCAACGTCCAGCAAACCTTTGTCGCCCCCCCCCCCTCACATGAGAAGAAAATGTAGAAGGCGCCCCCGTATTCGGCCTCCATCAGCGTCTGCAGCACCACGCCCTTCCAGTGGTGCCGCACCAGCACCATCAGCGGCACGTGGTGCTTGATCTTGCCAGCCAGGTGAGTCACCTCCTCCGCATACTCCCCCTCGCAGCCGAGCGCGCCGGCGCCCGCCACCGATGCCGCCTTGGCGCTCAGCTGCCGCAGGAACGACCGGGTCGCCTGCGGCGCCGACTCCGGGATCGCCGGCTCGAGGTGGGTGGCGCCCTTCGCGTCGGCCGCGGCGCCCTTGCCGGCCTCTGCGGCCGCCCAGGCGTCGTCGGCCCCGCCAGCTGGCACGTCCAGCTCAGCGATCCCGCTCAGCTCCTGCAGCCGCGCCGACACCTGCCTCGAGCTGAGGCGCCGCCCGAGGTCGGCAGGGGCGTGGCCGCCCTGGGAGGCGCGGCTGGCCTGGCGGCTGTAGGCGCGCGCGACCTTGCGGGCGGCGGTGCTGGCGACGCGGTCCAGCACCATGCGCTGGCGGCTCTGCAGGAACTCTGTGGGCTCGGGCCTGGGGTTTGGTCCAGGGTGGATGCGTGCAAGGGGCGACTGGTCGACATTTTTTGCACGCGGCGGCACAAGGGGGCACGAGCTTCGATGCGTGCCGCGCTGCAATCTTGACGTACGAGCGCCAGCTGGCGCTCGTGCGTCAAAATGCCCAGGGGACCGCCGGCAGTCTCCCAGGCAGGCTCCTCATTACGATGCTGCAGCCTCTGTCGCTCGATGCTGTGCTGGGTCCTGATGAAGACAACCTTGATTCAAGTTTGCATGCATGGCGCGCAGGCTCTCACATGTGCATGCGCATGATGTAGGCGATTGGGGCGGTGAAGAGGGTCAGCAGGAAGGGCACGCGCCAGCCCCACAGCATCAGATGCTCTGTTTTGTTGCAGGGATGCGTGGGAAGGGCGGGTGAGAGCCACACCACAAGAACCGGTCAGCTTTGGAGGAATGATCTGAGACGCGCTGAGCGCGGCCGCCGCCCCGCAATCAAGCACCCAAGGGCCGGCTTTGACGTAGCGGACCAGAACTTGGAGCCAAGCTGCGGAGGGTGCCACCCCGACCTACCCACCGGGTGTGCACGCGTAGACCACGACCTGCACCATCAGGATGCCCAGGGCAATCCCTGGGGCGATCGACAGCTGCCCCAGGGACGCGATCACGCCCTTGTGCTCGGGCGGGGCCAGCTCAAAGAGGTACGTGATGGCGGAGCCAAACTGGCGCAGCAGGGATCGGCGCGGCGGTGGCGCAGGATCGGTGGAGTGGATATCGGGCAGCACGGGCAGGAGGGGGTCAGCATTGGTGATCCCAGGGGGCCAAGCGGTAGTCAGAGGCATGCGCAAGCACACAAATATCAGAGGCTCTTTGCATGGCGGGGGTTGAATTGGGCGTGAGCCGAGCTGCGGTACGAGCACATGCATGTGTCCCCATGCAGGCACCAAGGTAGGCGCACCTCGCCGCCGACCGCCACGCCCTGGATCAGGCGCAGGATGGCCAGGAGGATGGGCGCCGCGATGCCGATGTGTTGGTAGGTGGGCAGGCAGCCGATGAGGATGGAGGGGATCGTGATGGCCGCGATGGAGGCCAGCATGGTGATGCGCCTGTGTCGGGGAGCGTGAGTGGTTGGCCGTTGATGCTTGGAAAGGCTTTGGGCGGTGGTTATTATGAGGGCTCTTCTAAGGGGACCAAGCAGACAAGCCTGCCTCAAATGCCCTGCCGAAGCATTGCTTCTGGGTAAGCTTTGTTGATGCGACGCTGTCCCAGGTTCAAATTTGTGGGCCGCCGCTGTGGAGTGCACCTTCCCACGGAGTCGCCGATGTGGCCGAAGATGACGCTGCCCAGGGGGCGCGCCACAAAGCCCACGGCGTAGACGCCTGCAATGAGACGGGCCCAGGAGTGGCGTGCCTTATGTTGAGTGAATCTGCATTCAAAGTACGCCTGTTCAGGCGTATTGCCCCAAGGCGCAATACGAAAGGAGCCGGTGCATGGCACGGCTGCGTTACAGGCGCAGCTCCAGCCAAGCCGCTCACCCCAGAAGCTGAGCTGCTCGGTCGCAGGGTTCGTGGGCGGGAAGAACACCTTCGTGAGGATGTTGCTCAGCTGGGCGTAGACTGGGGGGGTTGCAGGCGGCAGACAGGTAGACAAGGTGAGGGGGGAGGGCGGGCAGTCGAACAAAGCAGCGAGGTCAGGGATTGGCGCCCGGACATTGAGAGGCGGGATGCGATTCGCCAAGCGCGCCGAAAGACTCCTTGCACATGCGTGCATGGGCGTGCCCGCCCTGCTGCTTCACGAAGCCACGCGCTCGAGCAGGGCCAGCACGGCAGCGGCCAGCCTGACGTCGCTCACTCATGAAGTCGTACCTGCGAAGGGGTCGCGGAGTGGCCAATGGTATTGGCCGAGTCACTGCTGCTGCTGCTGCTGCTGCTGCTGCTGCTGCTGCTGCTGCTGCTGCTGCTGTTGAGGCCGTGCTACATCGTCAAGCAGGAAGACACGCGCTCCAGCCCGCCACCCTGCCACCACAAGACCCCAAGCCCCGGGGCTCACCACTCGATGAGGGTGCCCATACACAGGGCGATGATGAGGGAGATGTACTGCTTGCGCGTGACGTCGGCGCCATAGTGGTGCTGCGGCTTATTGCCAGGCTCGATGGCGAGGCCGGGTTTACCCATTGTGTCGGCTGGCTTTGGTTGTGGGTGCTGCGCCGATCTGCGCCTGCAGCAGCAGGTGTTGCTCTACGTGGCCAAGGGGTGCGCGGGGAGCTCTGGCCTGCTTGTCAGCCTGAGATGCGGCACCACCAGCTTTGAAAAGCGTTACAGGATGCCTTGCAGGACCGTGACGAGCGTTCCCTAGACCGTGTGCGCGACCCGGGACTGCAAGTGCCGACGAGTTCCACGTTCGCGAACTTCAAGTTTGTCCACACGCTTACAAGAGAAGGTATCATCAGCTTCGGGCCTGAAACAATCCCGATAGTACTTCAACGTCAGCGATTACCGTATGGTGCTCAGGTGAAGATGGAAGTGGGGGCTGGGCAAGTGACACGGCGCGCGCGCTGACTCGCTGGCTGATCGCCTTTTATACCAGAATGCCAGACCCCCTCTTGTAGACGGATGAGAAAGCTGGGTCTGGCGCATGCCTTACCAAGATCAACAACGTGCTTGGCTGGGTGGAGCTTATTGTCAGCAAACGGACCAAGCCCGCATCCGGCAGCAGGATGGTTGAGCCGGCGTGGTGAGCGCAGCCCAGCTCAGCCCTGGCCATCAACGGCAATCGTCACACCAATTACAGCAGTGCCGCAACTGGCGGCCTCTCTGTGGAGCAAACTGCGCATATTCATTTGTGCGTGCCATGCCAACAAGGGTAGTCATCGAGGGGTGACGGAAGAGGGCCGGTATTGCGATGAGGGCGGGTGCGGCATGCAGATGTCGCACAGAGCAGGCCGTCAATGCACACTAAACGCACACTCTATAGCAATCGATGCCACGCCAGGGGTGCAGCATACAGAGCACAGAGCGGCGTGCACAACCAAAGCACTCGTCTTTGGGGTTGCAACGATACCCAAGCTATGGATCAAATATGATGACTACAGGGAAATGTATTTCCTGCACAACGCTGCCTTCGCCATTGGGCTCGCTGGCTGACCATGTTCATGTGCTTTTGCATCTGTGCCCTTTGTGATGCTGCTGGCAACCGGGCGCACTTTTGCCTGGTACAGGCAGCTGTGCCGATACTGTATACGCACACAATAACTGCGCACGGTGTCATCTTTCAAGCGCAACTCGGCGAGCCACATCACACGCGCAACAGGCACTCGAACGAAGATCTTCTTCGACACCATCGCCGGAGCAGGGTCTGAGCCTTAGCGTCAGAGCCATGATGTTGCTCCGCAGCAGCTTGAGCTCTCTGCCGCGTCCAGCAGCGTGTACAGCACGCAGCGCGGCAGTGGCTCGCGCACCGCTCGCGCTGCCCCGCCGCCAACACAGCACGGGCGCTCCCCTCCCCGGCGCTGCCTGCCGCGCCAGTATCCGCGGCGTCGCGACGCTCGACGGGTCAGTCGTGTTGGATTCGGTCAGCCGCGACCTGCTGACATGGTCCCTCGAGGCGCCCGGGCTCTGCGCCGAGGTGGCGGCGGGCATCGGGCTCTCGCAGGACCGCAGCGTGCGCTTCACAGGTCACCTGTTCCAGCCGGTGCCCTGGTCGCCCACCACCAAGCACGGCATGCCACAGGAGCTCGAGGTGCGTGCCTCAAAAGCGCAGACGCTTGCACCGTAGGACCGCGGCGCAGAGCGCCGGCTTGGCTTCCGCAGCAGAGACGAGTGTGCTGAGCCAGCGCTGCTTTGTCAGGCAAGGAGAGCGCCTGCGGTCCAGGCAATGTATCGTCTGGGAGCTTTTGGCCCCGCCATCCAGCTGCCGCCCATCCTCCAGACAAGCGGATGAGTTGCAATTCCTTGCGTGTCCTTTTGCCGCCCATTCTGTGAACCCGCCCCTCAGGTGTACCGCGACAAGAGCCGCTACGTAATCATCCAGGTCCCACCAAAGCTCATCATGGGCGCCATGATAAAGGACATTTCACGCATCTGCGCGGTCTTTGAGCTGTCCCCGGCCACGGAGGCGCAGCAGGCGGCGCGCGCGGCGCTGGCCAGCGGCCCGGCGCCGGGCAACGGCGCGAGCCCCGCGGCTGCGCAGAACGGCAACGGCAACGGCGGCGGG